GTCGCTCCGTCATAAAGCTGTATCAGGCGTTCTACGTCAAGTCTACTCTTTTCCTTCACCCCCATTATCTGCTCGAAGAATTGGGATACCTCTTCTTTCCCAACAATTGCCTTATGCCCCAGGCTTGACTTCAGCTGCCTAAAAAGGCCGGCTTCGTAAACTCGTCAACAAATAGAGTGGTCGACTTTACTTCTTCCACGTGTAGGCGGACAGGCTGGGAACAGCCATTTTGAAAAGCCGGGATTTTCCAGATCCGGGCGGTGAGAGGCAAAGCACAAACAAATTTACGTTCTCGTGGCGTAATTTGCATTCTACCTTTATGTTGGTTGTCCCCAGTAAGCAAGCAACCGTGGGCAGAATGCTCCCCAGCAAAATATCTCTCGTTGTATTGTTAGCTTTTGCGTATACATCGAGCCATTCCGCCACGCTTGGGGAGCAATCTTATCCCATGGTAGGGGCATGTCCGTTGCAGATTTTTCGTACTTGGGCGGCCAAGGAAGAAACATCAGAGACGCGTTTCTTCTTGGACGCTGGGGGGATACGCTGTAGCCATGATTACAACTGAAAAGAAGAAATATTTTAATGAGACAAATTAATAACTCGAGTTCTATTGAGTTCGGCAATCGACAATCGAACGGCGAACTTTCTGTGAGTTCGATTTCCGAACCAATGGAACTAATCGAATACAATCGAACTCAATCCACCCGGATTTAATTCGATTGTTTTCGATTTTCGAACTCATTCGAATAAAATCCATGTGATGTTCGACTGCCGGTTCAGTTATTGAACGCAACAAATAAGGAGCTAGACTTCCATTACTAGCTTTGCCAAAAATCGAGAAAAAATCGAGACTGCGAGACTCACAGAACTGCTAAAAAAACGAGACAGCGAGACCCATTAAATTCGGCTAAAATTTTGCGAGACTCTTATTTTTGAAAGACCATTCTCCACCTATGTAGAGAAGTCACAATAGTCAAAATTTGGCGAGATTGAACCAAATAGCAAACAGTATCATCGGTTTGAGGTTTCCTCCGATTTGAAGGCAATTATGTGAATAACGAAAATTACTGATTGCAGGAGCAATGTCACGGTATTCTACTTTGACAAGCCAAAATCATATCTGTGTCAATGGAAACCTAAAAATAATTGTCCAGTTTTATTAACAATTCCGATACTAGTGCAATGAAACTATAAAGAAGTGTCTTTGGCTGCTTGAAAACTGATTGGCAAGTTTTTTCGAGATCTTCCCTAGTGTTGAAAAATAGTATAAAACGGCTAAATATGGCTTTTTTCTCCCTTCGCGGAATCACTTGATATTTCCCCTCGGTATTCCAGGAGCATTTTTGTGGGAGAAAAGTTACTTTTAGTCTAATATTGGAGACCGCGTGAGATCCGAAAAAATGTGGCACATGCTTCGAAAATTCCCTACCGTCATATTCAGTTCAGAGATACCCTATGGAAAGTCAGTTAATGTGGTAGAATTTTTTGTGTGCAAATCTATTTTTGATTTCAAGAAAATTCTAAAAACCTGTAACGGACCCCCATCGCCATGAAATGGTTGAAATGAAAGCGATGAATGTGAGTACAAGAACTGATCTCGTTAAAAGCGCACAGGGCAGCAAGGTTTTCCCAAATTTGAGCAATTGTCTAGGAGGCATTTACAAATGATTTGAGCTAATAACAGGTTTGGTACTTATTTTGGAGCAGTTTTTCAAGTAATATTTTTCCTTTGCGGTATAACTCAGAATCACTTTAAATTACGGTTTTGGAAACGTGGATATAGTGCTCTTTTCAAGGAAACTAAAGAACGTTTGGGCCTCTTAACTACTGCAAAGAAAAAGCCCGTGTCATTTCGAGAAATACGATGGTTCCAGAAAGTGCCTTCGGCAACATTTAGTGATTGCGTGATTTGATAAATCCTGCTCGAGCGAAGATGGCCATTTGAAACGAAAATAGGCATAAAACCAACCTTCAACCACTGGCTATGCAAGGTAATCTCGTTACACTATGTCGCTGGTCTAGTATGGTGTAAAGCAATAACTTTTCGTCGGAATTTTGGCTTCAACAACAGCAAGCGTAATTCGATTATTTGCGGTTGTTGACAAGTCGATGTTGTGATTTCCTCGAAATGACACGAGCTTTTTCTTTGCAGTAGTTAAGAGGCCCAAACGTTTTTTAGTTTCCTTAAAAAGAGCACTATATCCACGTTTCCAAAACCGCAATTTAAAGCGATTCTGAATTATACCGCGTAGGGAAAATATTTCTTGAAAAACTGCTCCAAAATGCAATTTTTAAATAATGAAATATGAGCGATTTTCAAACACTCACCGTTAATTCAGAAATGTAACTACAAAACCTGTTCTTAGCTGAAATCATTTGTTAATGCATGCCTCCTACACAATTGTTCAAATTTGGGAAAGCCTTGCTTCCCTGTTAGAGTTTTTGAGATTTTCTAGAAATGAAAAATAGATTTGAGCAAAAAAATGCCACCACGATTATTGACTCACCATGGGCTATCTTTGAGCTGAACATGAGGTTAGGGACATTTTCCATCATGTGCCACCTCTTACGCGGTCCGGGAAAAAAGGCTCTCTTAATAGTTTTGGGCAAAAAACAGCAAAATCACCGTGACATTGCTCCTTTAAATATATCTTGTTTTAACATTGATCAATATCAAGAAGGTCTTACCTTATGGTCTAGTCTCTTTGTTTCAGAATGTTAGACAACACTGAAGTTGCTTGTAAACGACTGATGATGAGCGAACGATGCAAGCTTGGACTGCTCAAAGTGAGACGAATATTGCGGCTGCAACTTTTTTTAATGACTTCACGGCATTGTTTATTGTTCATTGTTCGTTTAAGAAGGTGTGCCAGACACCGTGATATCAAATCACCTTCCAATGGAAATTCAACATTTAAATACTTTCATTATACTGATTCAGTCGCTCTGCAGAAAAAAATTCCTTGAGTTGTAGTCCTTGCTGTTTTAGCGGCGATCAAGGTATAAATCGAACATTCTTCATTTGCCGCAAATGGGTGACTAGAGTGGCTATCGGTCAACCCGGGGGTAGACTGTGTTATCGGACAATGCTGGCATTGTAGTCGTGTCTCATGTTTACAATTTCTCACCGTCTCACTAAATAAATGTGTGGGAGAGAAAACATGTTTCCGGACAGGCGGTATGTTATTCCTTGAGATCCCTGAGGCTCGCAGCTTAAACCAAAACTCTGACCAAAACTATCGCGTCTATCTTTTTGGCGAGGGTCGAGGTTAAACGTTTTCGCATACAAATTACCAATAACCGAAAAAAAGGGTTTTTTTGTAACATCGAGGAGAGTGGAATGTAAAGGCCCAGGTGTGAGGATAATTGTATTTTCTAGTAAATCCCATTACATGTCCTGCAACCTTTGAATTCGGGATAATATTTCTCAGTGTGATCTGTGACCGGATCAGGTTATAGGGTTAACTATACGTGAGTTCACATGCAGCAATGGAAAAATACAGTAAGAACGAGAGCGCATTTGTCGCTTCTGCAAAACATAATGTTGTCTTCGCCTGACTGTTAAAGAGTGTTAGTACAGTTTCAGTTTTTTAAAGTGTACGCGTCCCTGTGATTTTGACCCTCTCACGACCGTTGGGGGCCTTGGGCCCGAGGTCAAAATTACTCTCTACGTAGGGTGGTAGAGGCGATTTATGTTCAGTCCTTACCCCATCCCCACTAAAGCGTATCAAATAGCTCCTTTGTTTCGATAAACCAATAAAGGTGCAAGGTAAAAAAAATGTTTCTCGATTATCACACCTTTTAAGTTTCTTCATTTAGACAATACATACATGCTAATTGACGTTTCAAGTTTCAGTTAGCAACGAGGCAAGTGATACATTTTAAACTAAGTTCTCTTGCGGATCGACAAATAGTCGCGTGATAGGTCAAGATAAGTGCTGTTTCGAGCTGTTACACTAATCGCTCATCGGATCTTAAGAGTTACTTCATAGCGGTAAGTTATCAAACTGTTAGTATTTCATGGTTGCCACACATTTATTTTCTCCTAAACTTTACTTTTGAGTTCTCTTCTTTATAATTATTGTTTACTTCTTTTCAGAACGTTTCAGCAGTATCGGAAGAACCGTAAAATTACAGTAACCCATGCCAGAAGTAAAGCAAACAGAATAAGGTATAGTCTGCGAATACACTGAGTCGCCTCTTTGATTTTTATTCTTTAACTTTAAAGTACAGTATATTTCTCGTAGTTACGCTCTCTTTTCGACTTAAAGATTCCAACATGAAACTTTGAAAACAAACGAGATGAGCTCATTTTATTCCAAACGTTGTTATTTATCATGTTTTCGCAGTATGGTTTTACGGATTTTGGGGAAATGTTTGGCCGCGCACTTTAATAAGTTTGTTTTAAAATATTGAAGTAACTTGACAAAGATATTTTGAAACGATTAGTTTAGAAAGAAACTGTTCTGCCACTTGGGTGGGCAACTATTCGCGCTTTCCCCACTATCTGAACGCCTGGAACAGGCTATTGTTAACTTGATACATATATACACATGCGATTTTCATCGCGGCGATTCGATGCAATTTTTGTCGCGCTCAAGTCGCATCCTCAAATCGTGATGCAAATTTGCGGCGATTTTTCATAAAAAGTAACAAAAATTACGTATCAGGGGGGACCCACGGGGAGGTTTGGTTTACGCCCGGGTTACAAACAGGGATAATTACCGGTAAAAAACGTTCAAAAGTATCCAAAACCTGGACTTACAATAATACGATTTAATATAATGTGATTTATAAGAAATGTTATAAAGAATTTCAAGCCACAGTAAGGTAAAAAGTGTGATTGAATGCCAAAAACGTAAGCTTATTGTGTTTACAACCTCTTAAATAACGACAATAATAGTATTTCTTCGTTACAGGCAGGATGGATGTTCTTTTAAGAAAATCACACTGCATTCTACTTCTATGCATGGTGGTGATATTCTTATCAAGGGTAACTAATGGTAATCCGTTATCCCCAACCTGGTAAAAGCCATAGCAAAAAAATGATAGAGCGATACGAGAAAGGAGAGCTAACAACAGCAACCGTCATTCATTACCATCATGAAATTGGGGACCAAGCCATTAGAGAAACCCTGTTTCTTCCTGGGGTCATTATCTGGGATCCGTTATTTCAGCATTTTCGTGGAAACTTACCTTGTCCAGAGTGTGGTGAAGATCTGAAACCTAGATGCTGGAAAGATGGAAAGGATTGGAAACACAACAGTCCTAGGCAGCTTGCAGATATAGAATGCCCTGTTCTGCTGGTAAGTAGGGTATATGCATGCAAAAATGATCATCGGACAATCGGTCATGACCCTAAAATTCTGAAAAAGTTTGGACAGGTAGAACTGATCCCTTTCCTTCTTTTGCACAAAAATGGGATTACTCGACGTTTATACAGATTAATAATCGTTCATGCTGCGTCAGGAATGAGGTACATGGACGTGGAAGCACTTTTAGCACAGATGTGGCATAGTTATCACGCCGAGGCAAGCATTAGGACCTTAACACTGTTACGTATGAGAATTTCAGAGGATAGACCATCAATCAACGTGAGTCACACGACAATGCCGCAGATTTCACAGTTAAACCCTAACAGAAAACTGATTCGCCAATGCTTTGTTCATGACTATTGCACGAAAGAAAAACTTTACAATGCACGCATGTCATCGTTCACAGGTGGTTGGCTCTCTTCTGACCACACATTCAAGGTCGCTGGGAATGTCGGATTATGGCAAAATGACCATTGGATTCGCCAGTTCGACTCTTTGTTTTCTGTCATGAATGAGGATGGAATTGTCATCGCGTGGCAATTAACGAGAGGCACTGGTTTTGCCAGGGTGAAGACCCTACTCATGGGAATTCGGAACAGGCTACAAAATAGCGGAGTTACCTTGCAGGGATTTTCCATTGACAACTGCTGCGCCTGGAGATTACTCCTTCAAGCAGTATTTGAGTTATTCCAATTAAACTTGATCTCTTTCATGCAGTGCAACGCATCGCTAGTAAAATTAAAAAAACACCCATTAAGAAGACAATGCCTTGATGCATTTCGTTTAGTCTTTCGGAAGTCGGGCGATATCGAAAAAAAGAACGTAAGAAGCCAACGCCTTCTCGCCAAGTGATGTTGACAAATTTAAATAGGTTTCTGGAAAATTGGGAAAATGTTGAACTTGCAGGGGAAAAGGTACTTTCACAGCATGTCCACAACCAACTGGACAAGTTAAGAAAACATATTAAGAAAGGTTGCTTGGAAGATATTCCTCCTAAAGCAGGAACAAGCAGACAGGAAGCAATGCACAAAAGCCTCCAAAAAAAGCGTAGAAAAAAGGAGAGTTGGCGTTAAAGTAGCTGTGGCAAGCATAGGAACGTGCCTATACAGATGGAACGAAAGACGGTTTTCGGACAAGGTTGGATCGTGCCATTCACAAGTTCGGTCCCAGTCACCCACTACCAGGACTTGTCAGTCAGTCAGGAAGAAGTATTTGGTACTGGAATGATTCAAAATGGAAGCGGTTTTAGCGATGATGACTCGGAAGATGGCACTGACGTCGATGCCTGTGAAAATGAGTCAACGGGTAGCAGTAGTGAGGACGGGGACTATGGGATTGATGACAACGATAATGTGAGGATCAGCGAGGAAGACGCGTATCATCGAGTTTTAGAGTATGCCCTGTACATGAAGAGCCTGGCTCACGATTTGCAAGCGAAATGCGATGCACCCACGATGAAAGTTAATCTGACACAGTTCGTAGGACGCAGCCTTCTATTATTCTCATCGCATGCAAGTTCCTCCAGACCAGACGCAGGAAAATGCAGGGAGAGGTTAACCAGCATTTTAAATGCATTTGGCTTTGAACAGTTGTCGATGCCAGGGGATGGAGACTGTTTTCTACATTGCATCTCTTTCAGTTTGAGCTCTCTTCTTACTAGAGATAACTCCAACTTAGCCACTTACTTGAAATCAATCGGTATCAGCATAGAGATACCTGACAAGGACAAAATCAACGTTCTTAGGCGGTTGATTGTGCAAGAATTTATGGGGCCTAATCGGCATGTTTACGAGCCATTTCTGATAACAAGCACCACTGATTCATATGACGCAGAAGCTCAAAAGTTCCTTGAGTCGGGCCATTATGATTCTGAATTAGGAAACTGTGTTCCACTGGCGATGAGCAATATCCTTCAAGTACCCCTGGTTATTTTTACCTCCATGGAAAATTATCCCATCACTCACGTAATTCCCAGAACACGAAGTGCTATCTGAAGTTCGATATACCTTGCTTTTTAGTCATAGTGATAGCGGCCACTACGACTTGGCAGTTGAAGGCAATCGCACAGAGTCGAATTCAACTGTAACTGAAACAACCGGCAAGGAGCCAGACACACAAATGCCAGTTGAGGTAGATCTCCCCACTCAAAATCAAACGGGATGTTCGTGTGGTCGCGGAGCCGCCAGGAAGACAGCGAAAAGTGAATTCTGCAAACACTATAAATCACGCTGTCCGTGTTTTCGTGCCTTGCGAAGCTGCAATGTTAACTGTTCCTGTCGTTCGTGCGTGAATCCGTTTGGTCGCAAAGCTAATGAAAAAGGCATCTTTGATCCGCCACCACCAAAAGCGACAAAAACAAGACCTTCAACAAGACGTCAAGCAAACAGACAAAGGCTATATGGAAACGAAAGCGGAAGAGCCCATTGCTACAACTTGGTTGGAAGACGAACTGTACGTCATTGAAGCACTGATCTTGTACTTGTTAGTTACAAGCCAAGATATCACTCCGAACAGAATCTTTGCAGACTATCACAAGATAGTAGAATTCTGCTCTGCCGAAGATATAAGTTTTCAACGTGTATTTTTCTACGTCAGTAAATCCGCGTCAGCAATAACCAAGAAACTACAAGACATAAAGAACAAATTAAAAGTTGACGAGGAATTCTTCAAAAAGCAAATCCAGTACAACTGGTTTTTTGACTAAATCGTATTTGCGCTAAGAGATAACAGAATGATGTATTTTACTTGACAGGCAATCTCGTACTCAAGGCCTCATTCCCATTGGTCATTGAAATAAGTTTTTCTGAGTTTTTCAGCCATTGCTGGATTTCACGGCGCACCAATTCCTGCTGCACGGAAGCAGTTTAAAAATGAGAGCCAATCAAATGTGGACAAACTTGTTTGGTATTCTGGCTGATTCCTGATTAAAGAAAACATGGAATAGACGGTGATGGTGTTACGTTGGGACCTATTCCGTTCAGTTCTCGGATTTAAAAGAATACTGTTTACCCGAAATAAGGAAAATAGTGTCAAAATTTTATATTATTTTTATTAAAATAGTCATAAATTCTTGTTTTCTTGGTGCAGAAAAAGAAAAAGAAAAGCGACTCTTGGAACGAAATCATTACTTTAGACTGTACTGTATTACTACGAGAAGATATTTTGCTAAAAACGCGACTTAGTTATAATTGTTAATGTTTTAATGTTGGCGATGCCGGGTGTTTATTTTATTCAGGATTGGATAGCGTGAGATTACAAACATGCTTATATAAAGAGTAAAAATGCACTGCGTGTTAAGACTAATTCATAGAGTACATTCTGAAAAGAGAATCGAACTATTCTGAAATTTATCTGGATAATCAATAATACAAGAGAAATGTCAAAAATTTCACACATATTTGAAATGAATGCTTTTGAAATTGATTACTTTATCTAATAATGTCCAAGGATAATTATACTTGCATATTTTTGAAGCCAAATAAATTAAAGTTTATTGTGCTTCAATCCTTCAAACATTTTCGAAAAAAAGCGCTGCTGTTTGTGAAAGTTACATAATGGCCTTTTTATGGCTTTTAGTCTTTTCACGAAGCCGATAGAAATCGTAATGTTTCTTGCTTTTACTTTTAATTGAGGTAATATTTTAGCTTTTTCGTCATGAACAAAAGTTAAATTCTAAAATCAACTTTTGCAAACATGTCACAAAACCAAGCGAAGGTCGAACCACCTTATTTTCAATCTTGTCACGAAAAGCTTATCGCGGTCAAAATATTTTGTACGTGGGATATTGACGTTTTAGTGTGTTTCGCTGTTAAGACAGCAAAACGTTCTTACACCCAACGAAGCGAATCTTGTTTGAACACTGGGGATTTCCCAAATTTTAATTGGGGCATATAGGACTATATAGTGCGACGTATTTTGACCATTCGAACGCATAAGTTTAAAAATATTTGAGGGATTATAAAGAGGAATAACGCCGTATTAAAATGATAGTAATAAGTTTTTAAATAATAAGTTTATTTAATGCATCTTAAGAATAAAAATACAAAAATATTCCGCTCGTTAAAGTTGTACACTTTAAATCGCGTTTGTTAGCCGCATTTCCTACTTTTCCTACTGTACCTCTATTACTTCTATTCCTCTGTTCCTCTGTTCTTACTGTTCCTACTTAATTCCTACTGTTCCTCTGTTCCTACTGTTCCTCTGATCCTACTGTTCCTCTGTTCCTCTGTTCCTCTGTTCCTACTGTTCCTCTGTTCCTACTGTTCCTACTGTTCCTCTGTTTCCACTGTTCCTCTGTTCCTCTGTTCCTACTGTTCCTACTTTTCCTCTGTTCCTACTGTTCCTCTGTTCCGACTGTTCCTCTGTTCCTACTGTTGCTCTGTTCCTCTGTTCCAACTGTTCCTCTGATCCTCTGTTCCTACTGTTCCTATGTTCCTACTGTTCCTCTGTTCCCATGTTCCTACTGTTCCTCTGTTTCCACTGTTCCTCTGTTCCTCTGTTCCTCTGTTCCTACTGTTCCTACTGTTCCTACTATTCCTACTGTTCATACTGTTCCTCCGTTCCTACTGTTCCTACTGTTCCTACTGTTCCTACTGTTCCTACTGTTCCTCTGTTCCTCTGTTCCTCTGTTCCTACTGTTCCTCTGTTCCTCTGTTCCTCTGTTCCTACTGTTCCTCTGTTCCTACTGTTCCTACTGTTCCTACTGTTCCTCTGTTCCTACTGTTCCTACTGTTCCTCTGTTCCTCTGTTCCTCTGTTCCTACTGTTCCTCTGTTCCTCTGTTCCTACTGTTCCTCTGTTCCTACTGTTCCTACTGTTCCTCTGTTCCTACTGTTCCTACTGTTCCTCTGTTCTTACTGTTCCTCCGTTCCTACTGTTCCTACTGTTCCTCCGTTCCTACTGTTCCTACTGTTCCTACTGTTTCTACTGTTCCTACTGTTCCTACTGTTCCTCTGTTCTTACTGTTCCTCCGTTCCTACTGTTCCTACTGTTCCTCCGTTCCTACTGTTCCTACTGTTCCTACTGTTCCTCTGTTCCTACTTAATTCCTACTGTTACTCTGATCCTACTGTTCGTCTGATCCTACTGTTCCTACTGTTCCTCTACTGTTCCTTTTGCTACTAGCCATTTGCTATTACGTTATTAATGACGTCAGTCAGGTCGTCGTACACGAGCCATGAGCCCTCCTGTGGCGTGTACACGCAACATCAAGATCGTGAAAGACTCAAACCCCATTTACACACGCTAAAAAGATCGGCACTGCACTCCAAATTTTTGGCACCGTGCCTCGTTTACCCGTGCCGAGACTAGCTCCGGGAGGTAGTCTCGGCACCCCTAAAATTTTGAGCGCTGGTGCCACATTACATGTGGGACCGATACGTTTACAAGTCGAAAATTGGGAGTGCCGTGCCTTAAAATTGTCAGCACGGTGCCAAAAATTTGGCGTGCCGTGCCGATTTTTTTAGGGCGTTTAAATGGGGTTTCAGTATGCTTAGCTACACGCAAACATCTATTAAGTCACGAACGTATGTCCTTGCCTTTGAAAGAAAAACAGTGATCTTTGGACTTAAATTGTCAACTCCCTTTTCTATGACTCTCATGCCTCGTCGGTGCTTATAGAATCATCAAGCGTAAGTGCTTAAGTCAAGTTCAGGCTGAGCCGTTTACCCTTTGTTAAATTCGTTTAACTACGGCTAGAACACAAGATGGATATCAACTTTTTCGACGACTGTGGCTTGGAAGGACACGACCACCTACATTACGAATTAGCTCAAGTTCGCAGTGAGTACTTAGCAGCAGATGTAGAACAGATACACCCTTGTGAACCCACAAGTAGCGAAGATTCTGAAGTCACTGCTGCTTTGAATTCTACTGAGAGTACATTGGATTCTGTAGATTGTACACCTCAGCGCAACAAGGACGATACGACTCTTGATCAAGATCAGGATTACGACGATTTTACTACTCCAATAAAATCATTTCTTGAGCGTGGATGTGATTGTCGTTACGGAAGAAATCAAAGCTCCTGCACCAAATCTTTAGATTTTGATGAAGTGGTTGATCACCGAATGCAGTGCATTGAACTATCTTCCGTAGAACTTGATCTGATTGTCCTTGGTGCACTGCAAAGTCATTTTAGTCGGTCTAAAGAAAAGAAACGCATTCGGATGAATTACTTCTTTCGTGATATTCAAGTATGTAAGAAAACATTCTTGTTTGTCTACGGCATAGGAAAGTCACGATTGGAAAACTTAAAAGCTCACTTTAAGAGGGATGGAATAGTTCCGAGGACACACGCGAACACCTCACGATTGCCTAAGAACACGCTAAATCATGAAGTTTTAGACCGGACCGTTACATTTATTAAAAACTTTGCAGCTGAACAGGCAGTTTCTCTTCCAGGAAGGTATCCGAAATTTAAGGATTTCAAAGTGCAACTGCTTCCTTCATCAGAAAGCAAAGCATCTTTATGGAGACGGTACAAAAAGGCGTCAGAAGACAAGAATTTAAGTGCAGTTAGTTACACCAAATTTGTCGACCTTTGGAACTCTTTAACGCCGTATATTGTGATAATGAAGCCCGCCTCGGATCTTTGCAGTCTTTGCCAACTAAACAACGGGAAGATAGCAGCAAACGTCAATGTGAGTGAACAAGAAAAACTGAACTGTCTTCATAATCAAGAGAAACACCTACAGGAAGCAAAATTAGAACGGGAGTTTATGAAAAAGAACATCGCGGAATGCAAAGATTTGTTACAAAATAGCGGGTTAGACCTCTTGTCACCGAGGCCCAGCTGTTCATTAGAAGGAACTGTGCATTATTCCTATGACTATGCTCAGCAAGTGCATATTCCCTCCAATCCTCAGCAACCTGGTCCAATTTACTTTAAAACTCCTCGGAAATGCGGCCTGTTTGGGGTATGTTGTGAGGGAATACCCAGGCAGATCAATTACCTCATTGACGACAACCATTAGTTATGTGCATGACTTCTTCATTTCTCACGGGGCAGGGGAAACCAATGCACAAATTAACGCGGATAATTGTGGGGCACAGAACAAAAACAATTTTTTTATCTGGTACTACTCCTGGCGAATTCTTTGTGGACTGCACAAATCAATATTGTATTCGTTTTTGATTGCAGGGCATACAAAATTTAGTCCAGACTGGTGTTTTGGATTACTCAAACAGTCGTTTAGGAGACACTATGTTTCTTCCCTTTTTGACCTGATGAGTGCTGTAGACAAGTCGACAGTGTCTGGGGTAAACATCTCAAAATTGTGCGGTCTTCATGACGGCACTCTTTTAGTTCCAGTCTATGACTGGGTGACATTTCTTGAACCCTATTATAAGAAAATTCCAGGTATAAGCACTTTTCATCATTTTCGTTTTTCAAAAGATCACCCTGGCGTGGTTTTCTGTCGAACCCTCGTAGATTCACCCGAAATTGAATTCCAAATTCTCAAAAACCTTGAAATAAGACCTCCAAACCAGTTACCTCCCAAAATCGTTCCTTCGGGCTTGGGTGAAGAAAGAAAACGGTATTTGTATAGGGAAATCAGGGAGTTTTGTCGGCCTGGGACAGAAGACATGGTTGCACCTGCACCCTAACTTTGAAGGTAAAATTGTCCCGAGCAAATAAAGGATCCTGTACAATACAATAGGGAGGAGCGAGATAAGCTACAGTGTATGCGCTCGAACTGCTTTGACAGCAACAGAGATATGTATGTATATGTATGTCTACAAACTTGACTTTCGGATTAAAGAGTAGCGTTTTGGGGCTAGTACGTATTCCCGAGAAAGAACAGGAAAGAAGGAACAAACTAAGGAACTTGTAATTTATCATACAAATTATTAAATACTAGGAGTAATAAATAAATTATTGTTTGTAATCTCTTTAATGTACTCTCCAGGTATTTTGCGCAATCAGCTGCTTGGTAATGTCATCTGCAAACTCTGTTGTTAGTTAAGGATCCGAAGTGCTATTTCTGTTTTCCTTGCCTCCCGCGAATATTCTGCGTAGTACTTTCGCTTGACCTTTACAAACCCTTGGGCCATGATGACGGTAGTGTCACGCAACAAGCTTTGATCAGAAAATATTCGTGATCATAAATTTTGACATCTTCATGACAGCTGACTGGTACAGATAAAAACCATGAATTTTTTGTGAAGAATGTCACGTTTTCAGGTTTTCGCTTTGAAAGGCTACAATGTCTAGCGTTTGCCAGGGCGTTCCGAGACTGAATTGGTTGAATCCCCGAGCATAAAAAAACGGGAAACACGGGAAGAACGAAAAGTCGGTAAATGGTACAACTCCCCCGGTAGAAATTTGGTATATTTTAGTATTTAAAATCAGCGACCCATATCAAGCATCTGATATCTGTTAATTTTATAGGGAGCTATCAAACAAGGTAGTCACAAGCACGCACACCGCCGCAACACTGAAAGAACAGCATAAAATAGATTCAGACCTATAACACTTTCGACAACGCGTGCTTTCAAATTTAATTCCCCTCTTTTTTACCCTCTTAAATAAAACAGACTTGCACACTGAAAATTGAACAAATTATTGATTCCTCGGATCGAACATTTCTCATGCTGTGAAGTTTTAAACGTTTTATCACTTTATTTATGACTGTGGCTCTAAATTGTCGAATGATGGAGCGAGGAGATGCCTGACAGTTCGGAGTTTTTGTAACTCAGTCGTTGACAATGTTAGAATGTTTGGTGAATGTTTCCCGTTGCAACGAATTAATGATGTTCCATTTAATGCATTTTCAACGTTCGAAAACGTTTTCCGAATGTTTTGAAATGATTTTGAAACGATACTGAACGTTTCTTAGTTCCGTTGGAGAACGTTGCCAACGCTTTCAAATGCATTAAGAATGTTCGCCAATGCATTTCAACGTTTCCAAATGCGTTGCGATAAAAAACGGCTCAACGCAATTTTCGTTAAGCCCGCTTTTCCCAAATAGGGTCACAAATGGAGGATAGTAGGACTTTTCTTAATTATGTACACTCGCCAGGTTATATGTTTAAATTCGATATGAAGTCTGGGTATCACCATGTAAGCATTCATGAGGAATCTCAAACATTTTTAGGCTTTCAGTGGCCCCTCGGTAGCTCTGTAGAGCCCAGGTTTTTTTTCGCCGTGCTCCCGTTAGGTCTCTCGTCAGCGCCTTACGTGTTCATTAAGGTTTTTAGGCCGTTAGTTTAGCATTGGCGCTCCCGGGGCATACCCTTGGTCTTGTATTTAGACGACGGCGCCGGATGCCTCCATGATTTTTTGGTAGCTCAGAGTGCTGCTTTGGCTGTTAGATCCAATTTGGCCAACGCAGGTGTGGTCGCCAATGAGGAGAAATGTATTTGGGTACCTACCCAGGTTTTGGAATGGTTGGGCATTGTGTGGGATCTTTCGCGTGGCTGCATATTTATTGCTCACCGCTGCATTGTCAAGTTGCTTAGGGCACTCCTATCACTAAAATCTGGGTCTCACTCCGTTACCCCACGCACGGTTGCCTCTGTTACAGGGCAAATTATTTCCCTCACCCCTGGTTATAGCAACATTACACTCCTTATGTCCAGATTCCTCCAATCATTCGTCAAACTTCATAGTGGGTATTCGCTTCCCGTGACTCTCGTGTATTCCGACGCCAGCAGTTTCGCCTGCGGTGGGTCTTCCTTCCGTGTTGATAGCAAGGAGTTTGATCTTTTCTTTCAAGTGTTTTCCTCTTTGGAGTCCGGTTTAGATAGTAACGCCAGGGAATTGTTAGCCATTCTTTACGGCCTGAAATCGTTTCGCGCTTCCCTTACGGGCTAAGTGGTCAAGGTCTTTACGGATAGTAAGAATGCGGTGTCTATTTCCGCCAAGGGCAGCAACAGCCTTCGTTTGCATGCTTTAGCTCTCGAAATTTTCGCCTATTGTGCCGCACATGATATTTCACTTGAAGTTGAGTGGATCCCACGCTCACTCAACTCTTACGCGGATTCGGTCAGTCGCGTTGTTGATTATGATGATTGGGCTGTTTCCACTATTTTCTTCCAACATGTTAGCAGTATTTTTGGTCCTTTTGACGTCAATCGTTTCGCATCCTCTCTTTCCGCTAAGTGCGGCGTTTTTACTTTCGAAGTTCTGGTGTCCCGTTTAAGGCGTGGACGCTTTTAGTGCCAGTTGGGGCGGCGTTAACAACTATTTGGTTCTCCCAGTCTTTCTTGTCGCGCGTACATTAGTGCATTTGGAAACGTCTCGTGGCTTGTGATACGCTTTATCGCCCCCAAATGGCCTTCTGCTAGTTTTTGGCCTTACCTCTTTCCTCTAGGTCACTCTCGGGATTCAGTTTCCCGAATCATAGAATTTTCTGACCCTCAGGTATTCTTGACGATTCCCACTTGGGGTTCCCTACTATTTTCAGCGCTTTCAGTTTTCGCGCTCCTGTACTTTTTATTTATTTGGACGCCAGCTCGCGTGTTTAGAGCCGTTATTCAGGCATTGGTACTTTATTGCAGAGCTTTTTGCACCATTCCACATAGCGCTCGTTAGGGTTCACGGATGACTCTCGTTGCTTTATAGCGGTTCATGTACGCTGTTTAGCACTTTACAGCGGTTCGTGTGTGACCCTTGTCGCTTTATAGCGGTTCACGTGCGCTATATAGTGCTTTATAGCGCGTGGTTTTTTCGGTTTATTCCGGTTCGTTTTTCATAGTTTTTTACAGGCTAGTGCCTTATTGACGGTCGCTCTAGAGCGTGTTTGCTTATCTTTTGTAAACGTATGGCCTTTGTTGGCAACGTTGTACGAATTTTAGGGTTTTTTGTTTTCTCCGCATATTGTTGTTATTGCCTATACTTAGTATGTACGTGTTATTGGCTGTCCACGTTTAATAAATTGCAATCGGAATTCCACGTCTACCATTTTTCCCCATTTCTCTTATGCCTTATTTTTTCCTTTATTTGTTTACAAGTTCCAGGGTATCACGCGTTCACCATCCGGCTTTGGAGAGCCTGCGTACGCACATTCCAGCGGTTCTTGCCCACAGCAAGGCTCCTAGCACGTTCAAGACCTACCACGGTTGTTTCAAGCGTTGGAAATCTTGGGCCAGTGGTTTCCCAGAGGTTATTTACTTCCCAGCTCAAGAGAAACACGTAGCCTTGAATTTAATTTCGTTAGTTCAATCAGGGTCTTCATATTCCTCCATTCAGCAGGCGTTCTACAGTATAAGCTTTTTTCATAATGCTTGCGGGGTCTCGAATCCTTGTAAATCAGCTTTTCTTCTGGCTATTGTAGAAGGTTGTAAGCGCGTTGCTTCGAAACCGTCTAAGTTGAATAGGGTACCCATTTTGCCTGAGCATTTAGTCGCGTTAGTTAATAGATTTGCTACGCCCTCAGCATCCCTCGGGGATATCAGGGACGTTTGTTTTTGTTTGCTTGCTTTTGCTGGTTTTTTGCGCTTTGACGAGTTAAGTCGTCTTAGGTGGTCCCGTACGAAACTTGCAGCGCTGTACAGCGCCACAAAATCGCTGCAAAATAGCTGTACAGCTAAATTACAGCTGTTCAGCAGCCTTTTAGAAGCCAAACAGCAGCTTCATTCAAGTTGCTGCAGGATGCAAAAGCGCTGTGCAGCCTTTGAAGGCTCTTTGAAGCTCTCGGCAGCGGTTTTGCAGTGCAGTTGCCGCCTTTCAAACGCTGCGAAGTAGCTGCAGTAACGCTACAATTCAGCTGCGGTCAATCTGACTTTCTTGAGCGCCAATAACGTGAATCGCCAGATAAAGCCTTGGCACAGACTATGGCTTTTATAACGCGAAAACTTTGACTGTACCTCTAAGAAATGTGAGTAAGCTTGTGCGCAAAGAAGATCACTTATTGAATAAACCTCCAAATCCTATCCTTTCGGAATAAAGATTTCAATAAATTTCATTCCGTGACCGGCGAGTGCGGGAATGTTATCGCTAATTCCCTGGAGACATTCTAGGCCGTAATCTAATTGGTCGGTCCTTTTGCATGAGATCCCATTACATCTCTAGACAAACACAGAACATTTGCGACCGTTGAATGAAAGGCACAAACATTCTAAGTTTTTTTGCATCTAGTTCTGTTTCGAGATGGAAGTTCTGTTGAAGTTTTTGGATGGAACAGCTGAAACGTATTTGCAAACAACACACTGAACAGTGACTTCTACGCTAAGTATCGACGAATCGAACCAGAGCAAGCAACACAGATACAAGAATCTCAGATGGGGTTCGCACTTACAAGATTCTTATACACTCGTGGTAATGTTCGTTCCTTAGTCCATTGTAAAATTTAACGACGACCAAAGTAAAATTGGGTTGATTTCTTTCATGAAAAAAGTGTAGAAGATCGTGGATCATGGACGAAATGTCAAGGTGAGCAATGTCCAGCTTAGCCCGTTGCAACGAATCAAAATATCATTTGCCTAATGGCCGTGCATGTAAACTTTATGTAGAACAATCGATGTTATTCTCTTTATTCTTAAAAAAGATAATATTTACAAAGCGAGACTGTTGCAGATTTGTTCTATGTCACGTGCTTTTGTAACGTGTACGCGTGGATGCTAATAAAGTATAAGTTGCATTTTGACTTTCTAGTGGTTTTTAC